CCCTCCTGTTAGGGTGTGAGGTCATTAGACCAGGTCCCAGGGTCCCCCAGGAGGGAAGGGGTATCCCACGGTGGGGGGAGGGCAGTCAGACCCTGGGTCCTGCTGCCACTTACCAAGGTGTGCAGGAGGAGAGCAGTAGCTCACACCCTCCGCGCTGAGCTGGAGCCCCCACTCCAGCCTCCTAGGAGGCCCATAGGAGGTCCCCTCACTATGCCCCCTCGCCAGCATGGGGAGAATGTCCTCCCCAAGGGGGTGGCACCTTAAGACCTGGCAGCCCATCCAGTCTTTTCCCCATCTCCCAGAATTCATTTCAAACCCGGATCTCCTTGGAATCCCTCCCTCCCCTCAGCCAAGGGCTTCCAGAGACAAAGTGGGAAACACCTGGCCCCCTTCTTCATCGCTATGGCCATGATCTCTCCCTAGGGAGGAAGGGTCCCTCCACCTGAGACCCCCTTGCCTCCTCAGGGACCCCTCCACCTCTTATCCCCTTCTGCATGTCCAGTTATTGTCTCCAGTCCCCCCATATAAATGTGCTCTGCCATCTTGAATAACAAGGACCTCCCTCCACCTGGGTCCCCTTCCAGTGCCGCCCTCACTCCACCCTTCTGCTCCCCCTTCAACCCTCTTCAGTGTGGTCTCAGACTCCCACAACTGTCCTGGACCTCGAAGTGCCTGGTGACTGTGCCCTGATGCTGTCTGCCCTTGGAGTTCTCCCTTGGCCATGTGGCAAGGCTGCCCTTGGGGCACCCAGCAAGGACAGGGGAGGGGTGGCCTTATGTCTGTCTAGCTCTTGGCTTTGGGGTGCCCACATGGAGCCAGCTCCCACACTAACCTCCTTGGCCTCTGGAAGCACCCTCTGGAGGCCTCTTCCCACTGGCAATTTCCTCTCATCTCCTGGGTGCATCTTTGTTCCACATGGTCTGCTAATACAGGTACTCTGTTTTACTCCACCCTTCCAATTCTTATGGACTCCAGAATTTATTTACTCTGATTCCACTCAGTATTTTTTTCTTCTAGGATCTGCACTGGGGGAAGTCACAGACCACTGAGGTCAACCTCCTCTCCCCCAACTCCACCAGTGCTCTTGCCCCTGCTCCTCACTGAACTTGGCCTTTCAAAACATTGGTGTCCTGACCTTGTCACCCCCAGTGCACAACACCTCAAGGGCTCCCACCACCCATGCAATGAAATCCATGCTCTGAGGCCGGGCCCTGTTCCACAGTCTCATTCCTCCCTCCCCTTCCCCACACAGCCTGCAGGAACTCTAGGCAGATTCCAGAACAGCCCTGTGGTTCACCCTGCCTGAGGACTCCAGGGCCCCAGGCCAGGTTAAATGCCCCTCCTGGAGGCTGCCCCAGCCCTGGGCTTCCCCTTGCCAAGGTACACAAATCTGTTTCCCTGGGTCTCAGTGATGTTTCCCCAGTGCTCGCCAGGGCCTGGAACCAAGTGGCCTGCAAATGTTTGGTCACAAGTGCTGGAACACTCGGTGAGGGGCTAGATTTCATGTTGCCTGATGATACCCCAGTCCAGAGAGGTTGGTGCCAGATTCAAGACGAGAAAGCAGAGCCTGTTAGGAGCTCAGCAGAGGCCCAGCTTCTCTGCTACCACCCCCAGGGCGCCCCTATGCTCCTGCAGTGCAAGCAGCCCTAGGGCGCAGGTGTCACTCCAATCCCCCACTCGGCAGGGCTGGACCAGTCAGAGACAGAGAGGTGGAACCTTGGGCAGCTCCCCGGACAATGTAATCCCACTCATCGCCGGCAGAGGCGCTGTGCGGCTGCTCTCCTGGGCTGCGGTCGCACTCCGCTCCTCTGGCGCTGGGAGGAGGTAGGCGGGGCCATCCCAGGGTGGGCGGGGCAGTCCACCTGGGAGTCCTTGACCACGGGCCTTATGCGCTTCCGCACTCTTAGATCCTCGATCCTCGAAGCCTCTCCAATTCTCTCTCCCTCTCATCTCTGGGTCTCTTGTTCTCATCTCTCTTCCCGTTGTGCTGGTCCCACCTGCTCCAATATGGGGCTCTGAAGAGAGGCCTGGCAAAGTCTGAAGGAAAGGGTCATAAGCGACGCCTGGTCATTGTGCGAGGCCCTTAATGCCTATTAGGGAGGGGGCTCCGGCCCTCCCTCAGGTGACAATCCTCTGCTCACGGTCACACCAAAAGAGTCTCTGCCCAGGCCCAGGCTCTGCCCCATCTCCGCAGGGAGGTAGGTTCAAAGGTCAGAGGAAACCCCCTCCCCCCAAACAGAAGCACAGGACAATCCTACACCAGGTGGACCTAGGGGAGAGAAGGACTGGAAGATCTGACATACTTCCTCTCCCTCTGTCGCATCCCAGCCGACCGGGATGGCAGGAGTGGGGTGAGCACAGGAGCGTGAGGGGGTGGGGGTCACCCAGACTTCTGCTCACCTGCAACCTGCCTGCCTTCCCGCCTGCTGCTGGCCTCGTGCTCATCTCCCCCAGGCCATCCTCAGCGACCCAAACAGCTTCCAGCCCAAACACCTTTCAGGGCACACTTCTGGGCCGCTGCCCAGGCTTCTCCCTTCCCTTTGCTGCCTGGCCTCTCTCCTCTCACACCTCCGCACAGTGCGGCTGAAGGAAGAGGCCTGGGAGAGTTTGGCCAGAGAGCTGCTGGGTCAGCTTTCTTCACCTCTGTCACCCCAGGCGCTCTGTACTCACCCTGTTCCCTCTCACTCACTCCTGCTCTCCCTTCGGAGTGGTTCCCTGCTGCCTTTATTCTGTTGCTTTTATCCACTTCCTTTGCTACCTGTCCCCTTTGTTACTCTGATGTTGGCTTTGTTACTCTGCTAACCTTTCTTGGTACCTCCTTGGCTTCTCTTTTGCTTTGGGGCCTCCTTTGTTATTCTGGGGCGCAGTGTTCCTGGCCCCTGGCTGTGACCACATCCCTTGGTTACCCCACCCTCCAGTGGTGCTCTGTTCCCAACCATCTTCGCTCACAGGCTGAGTCCTGGGCTGCAGAAGGCTTATCTGGGAGTGTCTGTTCTACAGAAGGGGAAGAGGTCTCCAAGCCTCCTGACCCAAGGGATCAGGGGTCCCTCCCTACCTTCCCTTCCCCTTGGTCTGGGGGTCTCCCCTCCAGCCACCTCCCTTGTCTCTAGTATGGCCTCAAAGCTATAGCATGGCAGGTCCTGGGTGGTCCTGGTTGCTATAGGGTGACCCCTAAACCCCACCTGGGGTGGCATATGGTGTACCCCACTGTCCATACCCACCCTCACTGCCTCCGGGGACAGCAGTACCAGATTGGGTTCAGGGAGGCCAGTCACAGGCCAGACAGGCAGCCTCTGGAGAGACAGACAGACAGACAGATGGAGGTGGCTAGCCAGGCAGGAACCTATGGCAGCATCATCCAGTAACTCAGAGGTGGGGATGGGGGAGCAGCCTTGCCGCTTCAGCCTAAGTGGCTTTTAGGGGCAGCAGCTGGGGTGTGGACACCCAAGGGGCTGTGGCCCAGGAGGCTGCCTAGAGGCAGGCCCTGTGCTTGGGCTGGGGCTATGAGCCCAGGCTGCAGGCACTGGCAAGGGAAGAAGGAGCAGCAAGGACTGGGCCTGAGCACAGCCAGCTTTTCCCCTCATGGGGAACTGTCTGGGCTGGCTGTGCCTGACCCCTGGGGGCCAGGTATGTGCAGGGTGCTGAGCAGGGCTGGGGAGGGGCAGGTTGAGGGTGAGCCTGCAGCTCAGCTGTCTTCCTGTATGTGTGACTGAGAAAGCTGAAGAGGGTGGACTTGGGATCTCACCACCCTGGGCCCAAGGGGAACTGGGGAACCTTGCATGGGTCTCTTCCCTCTCCAGACCTGTTTCCTGATCTGTAAAATGGCCTGAGACCCCTAGGTTTGTTCCAGGTAAAATGTACTCAGAGAGGTACACAAAGAATAAATGACTGTCCATCAGTTGGGAGAAAGGGGCATTCATGCTGGTGGAGGTGGAGGGAGGGGAGGGGAGGAAGAGCTGGGGTGCAGGAGAGGCCTGCTCAAGGGAGCAGCTCCCGTGAATGCTGACTGGCTAGTGCTCAGAGGCCCAAGCCATCAGCACATTTCATCCTAGGTCAGGAGGAGGGTAGCAAAGACCGCTTCCTTCCAGCCAAACAAGTGCATGTCATTCCCTCACCCTTTGCAGTCACCCACCAGGCCTGGCATGGGCAGGGACAGGAGTGAGGGGCCCTGGCAAAGGGAGGGGATGGTGGTGGGGAATGCTTAATGGTCCAACGTAGCACAGATAGGCACAATCACTCCTGGGCAGGGCCAGGAAGTCACTCCATCACTGGCCTACAGGATATAGGAAGGGGCTGCTGCCTTGTCAGTTTCAAACCCCTCTTTTTGCCTCCTGGACCATCCTGGGACTCTGTGCTGGGTCAGGGAAGCTCTGGGTTGCAGGAGGGATTCTGATACAGGAACGGGGCATGGGAGGGGAGAGGGGGGGGGGGTAGGGGGGTTCCCGAGGAGGGTGGGCAGAGCCATGGCCCTTGTTCTTACCCTCGGGCCCCTGTATAGGGGTTCCTCAGTCTAAGGATCCTTTCTCCACCCCCTTCCCGCCTCAGGGCCCTGCTGCTCATACAGTAGGTGCTCAATAAATGTTACTGGCATAGGAGGCAAAGGCGCTGGCGCCAAGAAGGCTGCCCAGAATGGGGGCGAGACAGAGGGGTCCTGGTGATTCGGGGGTCCCCTGACGCCTCCCCCGGGGCCTCCCTGGGCTGGCGGAGCGCGGAGGCAAGGGAAATGACCAGGGTGGCTTGGACCCGGGGCGGGGGCGGCAGGGCGGAGGGGGCGGGG